CAAACTAGAGATACTCGGTCAAAATTAAATTTAAATATTATTGTTGAATTTTTTTAGTATAACAGCGACTCAAAACTCATTTCTATTCTTCGGCCCAAAAATCTTCTTCCAAAACAAATTAAAGAAATAACCAATTTTAAAAGTTTCAAAAAAGAAGTCACTATTTATATCAAAAAGTACCCTGATAATTTTTCTTTTTACTGAATTTACATTGTTTTTTATTCTTAATTGTTATTACATAATCACCAGGACCTTGCTTAATGGTCATCTGATCAATCACTCTTGAATCTTAAGATAGTAAAGTTAAAGCTATATAATTTAAAATTGTTACATTGCCTTAAATAAACAAGTATTACATTGTTTAAAATTTGTTAAAATGATCTGCAGGACTAAAAGCCACAAGACAGGCCACTTAGCCTAGCGTGGTTATAAGCCCTGTAGGACATTAGTCTTAGTATTTTTTTATATGTAATATTATTATTTGCAATAAATTGAAATTGAAAATTATAATATTATTCTCTATAACTTTTGACCCATACAATATTTTCCTTAAATAATGCGTATTCAAGAAATTTGACAAAATGTAAAAAATTCAAATTTTTAAGAAAATTATTCAGATAAAAGTTGCTTGTGAAATCATTCCCTATAATTCTTGTCCTATACATAATTTCTCTAAAATTGACTGTAATGGAAAAATTTGAGGAAAAGTGTAACATTTTAATTTTTCAGTATTTTCGTTGGCAATAAATATATGTAAAATAAGTTTCGAGTAAGATGTATGTGGAAAATGTATATATTTAGTTTATCCTCTAAACATTTACAAGGGTGATACAGTAGGTTGTACAAAATAACGGGAAAATGTCTGTAATAACTAGACAGGAAAGTCATGTGTTGAAAATTTATTTTGACAGTATTGGATATCGTTCTAAAGAAGAAACTATTACCCACCAAATAAAAGAAATGTCGACCAATTCGTATTAATGAAGTTCTTGCGTGTTGAAAATATTTCCGAGTGAAAACCAGACGGATTTTTTTATTGCAGATTCGGATTCTACATGTCTTAAATGATTAAAAGTAATTTTTACAACAAGAATGGATATAATGGCCATATCGCACTTGATTTAAGCTTGTAAGAAACTATCTAAATATTTTATAATTACAGTGGTTAAGAGAAGATAATAGTAACCTATTAAGGGTCGGTCTTTTCACCTTCAGATAAAGTTCCAGATAACTAACTGACGGATATATTATCTGAGAGTTACTATCTGTCACATAATTAATTTTCTGCTTTTCAAGTAAATAATATGTATGGTAAGAATCCAGTAGTTTTTAACCTTATGTGGTTATGCAGCTACCTTTTTATACATCAGTGAAGTATTTTATCAGGAATTTCATGAGTAAGTTATCATTCAGAAGTTAGGTTTATCCAGAAGTGAAAAGATTACTTTTTAAGTTACTTGGGAGATAAGAATTACCTGTCACTTTATCTGAAGGTGAAAAGACCGACCCTAAGAATAACAATTTTTACAGGATATTAATTTATTTATTTATACTTGAGTTTTAAACTCGTGCAACTATCACAAAATACTCTTAAATTCAACACCGACTTAAACCAACAGTCTAATGAATTCAGCAGTGCTCTCTCGAATCTTCTCTGGCAATTCAATTTCTGCTAATTTGAAATTTTCAGTCGTTTATATGCCTATAAAATATAGATACCCAGATACCCAAAAAGTTAACTATGATAACAAATAATATGTTTGTAATTGGGATTTTATAATTAGCAACTTCCAAGAATATGTATTTTTAATATTATTTTTTTTTTTAAATTAACTGTAAAATGTAAAATGGTAAAGACGAAATTGTTCATCTTAGGAAACTACAATAAGTTTGTTATTGCCTTCAAATTGCAATTTCAAATAAAAAAAGATACTCATCAGTACTGATAGGTTTAAAATGATTATGGCAAGATAGGTATATCGTAATAATATATACATTTGAAATAGTGTGTAAAGTTCTTGGAAATTTTTTTACAAATACTTTACTTTAAATACTTATTAATGATTAAAATTGCAGAACAATGAACAACAGAACTAGTTTCAACATTTGTTTTTAAAAGAAGAAACATTTGTATTTAAAACAAAGAAATAATTTAAATTTATAGAATTCGCATATCTAAAATCGTAGTGTAAAATAAAAAAAAAATATAAACGTACTTTCTCTTACTCATGTCTACCCATACTCATAAGATCTTCTTCTCGCACTCGTATAAAATAATTATTTAAATGAGTTAATGCCATCATACTCGTCTGGCTTTTGGTTCACAAATAATTAATAAATATGCTTTTAAAATTTCAGAGAGTTTAGAGATTTTTGCAAATAATAACTAGAATCAAGATATATTATAATGGTTGGCATTCTATAATATACTCTTCACAGTTTGACAGAACCACTTAACCCCATTTTCAATCAGATTTTTTTCAGAATCAATAAGCTTGGTCCCCTCATGAAGCTTGATTTTTTCTAAAGATTTCATTTTGATATTATTGTTCGTTTTAGAGTTAACCTTGACGAGAAAGATGTGCTCAGGCGACTTGAGAGGCAAAACCCAAACTTGCATGTGGCGAAATGGTGCACCTTCCACCATGAAATCAAAAAATACCCTAAGGGCCATCTTTTCGTCTTCGGCATCGGAGACGAAGACATGGGAACCCTAAAGGCCAAATCAATGAGGATGAGCCATGCGTTCACCTCATTGACTATAAGGCCAAAGGTCGAAAAAGAGGCTGAAGCGGGGCCCAGTGAAGACTCCTTGGTAAAGGACCCTCTTCCACCCCAATTTAAGTCAACAGTGGAGGACGACAAGTCAGAAAAAATGGCAATCTATGACCTCCAGCAAGGAAACTCCGAGCAGTCACAAGAGATCACCCCCTCTCCACTTTCGGAGGAAGGGATGGTCGAATAAATAACCACCTTGCTGTCCAATTTTCAACGGAGGACCGGGTAGCAATAAAAGAGGTAACGATCATATAATGTAACTTGCAGCACAAAAGGGTCACTAGGGCAACATTATGCCGCCGCCTTGATGAGGTGAAATACACACTAGCACTCATCCAGGAACCATGCAGAACTTTTTATGAAAAATAACTTTTTTTGTATAAAACACACTGTATATTTAATAAAAAAATATATAAATTTATTTCTTTTTTGTGTTTTTATATATAATCTATGTTGTTTAACATAAAATTAACATATCAACGTTTTTTAATGTATTTCGATTTTTTATTGCTAGATTATGTGTTTGTCATACTGTAAGACGGACAGACAAAGTAAACCTGTAATACTCTTCACAGACTACTATGTGAAGAGTATAGTAATAGTACAATAATTGAACTAGTGAGTCAAAAAACAGTACTAGTCCAAAAAATGACGTTTTGAGTTAAGATAGCCAAATTGATATTAACATGTGTCTCCACCCATTGAGATCAAAAACAGTGTAATACACACCATAGGTTCGGCAGTATAAATTACGTTGAAACTGGATGAGTCCTGGACATGTACTGTTTTTACACTCATTACTGTTACTTTGAAGTTGATGTTTTGAATATTATTTTATTATTTACGAAAATCACTCTATGAGAGTTGATTCTGTTAATTTTCTCCTCAAAATAGTAGCAACAGGTTTTAAAAAAATCTTCCAATATTTTCCGATCAGAGACCACTCATTCTTGCCCTGTGATAGGGATTTTAGAGTCCTAAAAAGATGCGTTAGAAGACGCGATCGTGTATATATTCCAGAGGAATATGAGGAAATTATATTGTCAATTCGACAAATTAAACCATTTACCAATAAACAAATAACCTACGGATATATATTCGATTTTAAAAATTAGTGGCCTCAGTTTTTCAAAAAAAATTACAACTGCTGTAGAAAGCAATGAAGAGTTTTCTCTGTCGAATTATAGACAGTTTGTATATGACACCAGTGGATATGTGAAAACTTGTAAATATATAGGTGGTCTAGTGTCTCATAGCTTTAAACTAATGAAGCAAAATAAAAATTATCCATCCCTTCCTACCAAATGCGCATACGAACAACAAATTCAAATAGATGTAAAAAAAATAAATGCCGTAAAGATAAGGCAATATATTACCGGGGAATTGCTGGAATTTTACTATCACGTCACCTCCTGGCCCACATCTGCAACCCAAGAAACAGGAGAAGTGGATGCTGAGAGGTAGTGGGGGGCACCCCGGACCCCTCCCCCCCTCCAGCTACGAGCATGTGTTTTGCAATAATATGTTATAATAGTTTATTTGTCAACCTTGCATTATTTTTAAAACAGAGGCTACTAAAAATAAAATGTAAACTATATAATTGACTTAAAAAACAGTACATGTCCACAATATATTTTTTTAAATATTTCAGATACAAACCCTTTTTAATAGTTAAAACATGATCTCTTACACTCATCTTAAATAGCTTTACATTTGATATGTACATGTCAAATTTATATGTCAAATAACAAAATAGTTATTTATTAGTTTTTTTTTAATTTACTCAGAATGCCATTTTTGGACTAGTACAGTTCTTTGACTCACCGATTCAATTACAAATTTAGGTCAATCTGGTCATATTTCAAAACCGACCAAATAGTCTGGTTAAATTATTTCTGTATTCTATAAATAGAGAAATAAAAAATCAAAGTAGGTGGAGGATAAGTTTCAGCTTTAATTTTTTACAAACGTAATATGCTGCGCGCGGTAGCATAATAACCGAAAACGTCCTTTCAACTAACTCAACTAATAATACCTCTACTTGAAATAAGTTACCCAAATTTGTCATCAGTTCTTGAACTATTAGCAATTTTAGTGTATTTACACCATAGAAAAAATTCAAGATACTTTATTTTTTTTTGACTGAGTGTATTCTTAAAAATCTAAAAAATATATCGATATATCTGAAATATTCGTGATAATACAGTAAATAATCTACTTACCCAAATAAATATCGTGTAAATTTGGCAAATCACAAAACACTCTATCATCTTTAAAGTTCTTGATTTCGTTCTGCTCCAAATGGAGTTTATACAACTTCGTCAAGTTGCTGTTAACAAAAATATCGTGAAGATCGTCAGCCAAAGTGGCATCAGTGTTGTCAGCAAAAGCGTTCGTTAGATGGAGCTCTTCTAGATTAAAAAAATTTGAAAACACTCTTGGATGATGAAAGTTTCTTTCTTCTTCAGATGATATTGAAATGTTGTTGTGATTGAGAATCAATCGTGTTACGCCTACGACGTGATGGAATGCTTTTCCTTTTACATCGTGGATGCCGTTGTTGCTCATATCTATGATCCTATAAAAACACAATGTACAATTTACTCAACGCGAAAAAGAAGCCTCTTTTAAAAATATATATTGTTTGTCGGTAGAATAATTTGTTATTAACATTTTTTACATTTAAATAAATACAGGGCAGGTCACCTGTAACGCCTCGGTCTGCAGAGCCAAAACAATTAGATTTTTTCAAAACTTGTGTTCACAGCAAGATATATATCAAAAAAGGCACCAATTTAAAAATTATTTCAATTGTACAGGAAAATGATACATACATGAAAGTTGTTTTTTTTTTAAATTTTATGTTATATTTTAATTGCCCTTACTTTTCCCGTTATAATACCAAATGGCATGGGATTATACAAGGTATTTCACACGCTTTATAAACAGTTTTCTAGGGAAATCGTATTGATTTTTTTAATACGTATACTGTAAAAGAAACATTTAAAAACCAATTTTTGGCGATAAAAGTTTTTAGATATTATTAACATTTTTTTCAATTCGAAACAAATTGGTTCCGGCTTAGTCAAAACACAAATGCATCATTGTTTCTTTATTACTATTATTATTATTATTATTATTATTAATTTTTAATTGACACTCCTGTATTTTATATCACCATTCAAAAGTGTTTTAATTAAAATGTCATAAGAGTCAATCATTCCATATACCTAAAGTTAATAATTTTGGGAGATTTTTTTTATATGACAAAAAAGATTCACAAAATACTTTAATTTTAATTGATCACTGGGCTAATTGGAAATAGACTGTTTATTAATTAGTAATTAGAATTTAATAATTTAACCAACTGTAATTCATTAAAAAATAAATACAAATATCAACCAATCATAGACTCACTTCATTATAATATCTACTTTATTCTAAGTTTACTATATTTTTAAAATTGACTATTTAGAGTATAATTATAAATATTTATTACATAATTTAGAAGTTAACAAACTGAAACTTTTTTTGATTACCCTCTGACTTTTTCCTGTTGATGCCACTGATCTGTAAATAATACAGATCAGTGGTAGATGCCCATGCAGCTATAAACTGTGCCTATGCCAATAATGACAATTCGTTATTAATAATGTCATTAGTGTTGCAATATTTGTTTTAAAAAAAGGCTAGGCAGAGAATTTCAAGTGTGTTACTCAGGAAATGCTTAGAAATGTGAGTTGGACCATTGTAAATACAATGGTTGGACCTTTGAAAACCACCTTTAGACCATAAATACTATTGCAGGCTACTTAGAGAAACTTTTCAAATTAAATAAAATGTGTCAAAATAACAATAAAGAATAGCATTAGATTATGTGAAGTTTTTATTGAAAAGTCAAAAACTTATTGTCAATAATAAATTATAGTTGATTAAATTCTAATTACCAATAAACAAGTAGGCTATTTCCTATTAATTAGTCATCTGTTAAAATTAAAGTATTTTGTGAATTACCATTTTTGTCATTTAAATTTAAAAATTTCCCAAAATGATTAACTTTATAGGTATAGGGAATGCTTGACTAAAGTGAAAGTATAATTATATAATAATAATAATAATAATAATAATAATAATAATAATAATAATAATAATAATAATAATAATAATAATAATAATAATATTAATAATAATAATAATAATAATAATAATGTTTATTCAATTTAAAGAAAAAATACATTTTAGTAGATACAGAAGTTTAAAAAAATAATAAATAAACATTCATACATCCGCTGAGACACGATTGTGTCTGTGTGCGGGGAAGCATAATAATAATTAATAATAATAAATAATAACAATAATAATACTAATGTAATAACTATAACTACAATGATACATAAAGATAATAAAAAATAAAATTAATTAAAACTGGCTAGATAAAAATTTGCAGTCTGTTATATTTTTTTTATATTTATATTTATTTTCCACACAATCTTAAACAAAACAATGGTTAAAATCTGTTAAAACTGTTAAAATATTTTGTACACAATCGAGATTAATTAATTAATTAATAATAATTTTAGGAATAACTACATATACCTAAGTTTTATATATGAACATCATGGATTCATTATATTTTGAAAAAATGTTGCACCTGTACTTTGTATCCAATATTTCACATTTTTCTTGTAAATATAGTACGAAGCTGAGTTTCTTATGTGTTCAGGTAGGCAATTAAGTAATTTTGTGCTTATATACATGGGACTGCGTTGACCCATGGTTTTTTCACATTTTGGTAGTAAGTATAGATTTTTTGTTCGAGTTTCGTATTGATGTGTTTGTGTTTGCAATTCTGGCCTACGTTTATAGATGTTTAACAAAAGTCGTAATGCATATAGTTGTCTAGAATCAAGAATTTGGCTCTCTTTGTACAATTTATCACTTGGGTAAGTTTTATTTTTTTTATACATTAATTTTATAATCCATTTTTGTATAACGTTAATATTTTTTAGGTAACATTGATTGGTGCTACCCCATCCAATTATACCGTAGGTTATTTGTGATTGGATTAGTGAAAAATAAATTGTTCGAAGATGCCTAATGTCTAAATAATTCGATAAAAATTTAAAACGTGACAGAAAACCCCTAATTTTTTGTACAACATGGTCAATATGATAATTCCATCTTAGGTGACGGTCTAAAATAACTCCCAAATATTTAATTGTAGGCTGTTCGGGAATGGAAGATGAATCGCTTACTTTTAGCGGACCAAGATTGGGTAGGCTACTTACGTATGAACAAAAGGGTAAGTATTTAGTTTTTTCAATATTAAGAGTAGGTTTGTTATATTGAAACCATTTCATTATTGTTTGCATTTCTAATTCAGCTGTTGTTTTTAGTGAATCCCAAGTTTTTCCCTTGTAAAGGATGGCTGTGTCATCTGCAAAGCTAATAACAGTGCCGTCCGTTTTCATTTTTAAAAGTGAATTAATATACAAACTAAACAATAATGGACCTAAGACTGTTCCTTGCGGAACACCGAAGGTTACTTCTCTGATTTCACTTACAACATCATCTACTTTAACTTGTTGTGTGCGCCCTGATAAATAACTTTTGATTAAATTGTGCATATTGCCCCTAATACCATATGATTCAAGTTTTTTCAACAACAACTCATGACAAACAGTATCGAAGGCTTTGGACAGATCAAGAAATATACAATTATGGTACTTTTGAATGGTGATATAAAATAAGGTGGTCAATTAAAAAAAAAATGGAGAAAAGTATATATTTGAATTTTGACTCACCCTATACAGATTTGTTTTTAATTGAAAAAAAATTGTGGGTCGACATAAATGTTAACCAACATCTAAAAACTCTTAGCTCAAAAAAATTGGATTCCAATTGTTTCTTTTGCAGTATACAGGTCATTGGAAGCAATACGATTTCCATATAAAACTGGTTAAAGCGTGTAAAATACCCTGTGTAATCCCATACTATTTGGTATAATGGAAAAAGCGAGGGTAATTCAAATATAAAATAATTTGATATATATATCACTTTCTTGAAGGACCCTGTATAATTAAAATTATTTTTAAATTGTTGCCTTTTCTTATTCGAGCTCAGACACATATGAATTGGACCAAAACAAATATGCAATTAGAATTTATTTAACTATTAAAAATTCAACGGATACGATTAAGCTTATTCGATATTAGGTGGTTTTTCCAGTTAATCAACAATATCTAATACTTTTATCAACTACAATAATTATAAAATAAACAAAATGGGAAAATAATATCTGGCGCAAATTAATTGGACTATATATTTAGTCAGCGTAACCACTGTATGGAGCCACCCTCACGTTTTAAAACGGCATCAATTCTCTTTGGCATAGTGCCTACCAATTTTTGGAAGTAATCTGGTTTAAAGTTATTCCAAATATCCTGAACTTTAACTTTTAGTTCAGGAATTGTGCGAACTGGTGTAGTTCGAAGTGCTTTTTTCATCTCATGCCATACGTCTCGATAAGGAATAGATCAGGACTGCTTGAAGGCCATTTTGAAACAAAAATATTCATTTCCTGCAACTATGATGTCACGGATTTCGCTGTTTGGCAAGCTGGGCCATCTTGATGGAATATAAATCCCCCCTGTGGCCGTTGAATTTCATTATTGGAAGGCAATAGTTCCTCTTGTAAAATACTTTTGTACTTCGCGGCATTAACAGTGCCATCATTGAAAAGGAGATTTCCAACTCCTTGTGAGGACATACAGCTCCAGACCATCACAGATGCCGGGAACTTAACCTTTCTTTTGAGGCAATCTTTGTGATATTCTTCCCCTGACATTCGAATAAATAACTCTAATTACCCTATTGCCAACACAGACCTCAAATTTAAATTCATCTTTCCAGATAACTGAATCCCATCGAACATAAAAACACATTTAAAAATAGTCAAATAGTTTTGGCTTTACAGACCGAGGCGTTACCGGTTGCCCACCCTGTACATAATATATATTGGACTGTAAAATGTGTTATCTTCAAAATTAATAAGTTTATAACGATCGACGATAAAATAGTACCTGACTATTATGAGGAAAATTAGTTAGCAAGTACCAAACTTCTATTTTGATTATTTTGCATAGTAGAATTTCCAAAGAAACAGGTCAACATACTTTTTATTTCAATATTTATTTTATCATAATGTTCATTTTTATTACCGCAATAGTATGAGCTCATCTCAAAAAAGAGAAAGTAGACATAACGTGGGTGATACATTATAATACATTATAATATGTCTGTGTTATATCTTCTATTTCATTTCAATTTTATTGCGCATGAAGATAAGATTTCCTTCTGCACATCTACAGTATGATATAAATAAAAAGATTAAATTAATTCGTGACTCATTGACATATGGAAAAATCCTGAAACCAGTCGACTTTTTTTGCAAACGCTTGTTCCGTCAGATATTTCGTTTATTTATGATAATTTTTTTGAACAGAAACGTAGTTCGTGCGATACATCATTTAAAAGATCTTTTAATTGTCTATCAAACCATACCAATTTTTTTTAAAA